AAATATTCATATAAAATAGACTCCTTCAACATGTTATAATAATGATGCATTGATCTGTTGGGGAATATTTTCCAAGGCCCATAACTTTGACCCAGTTTATCAGTTCATGTCCTGACTGAGCACAGGCACCTGCGACCTTGGGTGCTGTGCTCTCAGTGTTTTGTCTCCCTGTTCCTGCCTGTTGGCGTCAGCTGATGGAAGTGTTATGGTTTTATCTTGTTATGCACAATGTTGATTCTTCTCTCAGAACCAGCTAAATAAATGGGTCTGACTCTGGGGTAGAGATCTCCAGAATGTGTTTGGCAACTCGTGGCACGGCGGATGTCTTGCGAATTCTCCGGCCGAAGCTCCAAATAAACCATCAGTGTTCCTGCTCAACTCGTGTCTCTCTGAGTCCTGTCTCCGTTGCTTCAGAAGTTTCCATCACAATAAGCTTACATATTGAAAAATATATATATTGATAGAAAATAGAAAACAAAATATGTTTTAGTGAGTGACTGGGTCAAATGACAAGGAAACTATTGAGTGAAAAAAACACACTTCAAAAAATAAATCTGAATGTTCAATAAGTCAACTCGTTAGGTGTATATATTACTAATTAATAATTGCATACACACAGAAATAAATACGGTAAGCGAATTAACATAAAAAACGTTTAAATAGAAGTTTCACAATTGAATTGCAAACGTGAAACACAATAAATATCTATCTTGACTATTCCTGTTTTACCTTTTCAAAAGGAGGAATGTTTTTGCATGCTTTTAATTTGCTGCTCTTGCACACTGCGTGGCAGAAAAAAAATGTAACCAATCAGAATTTGTTACGAACCGTTTGGTGTATTGCTGCGTTTTCAGCCAATCAGCACCGTCCTTCAATAAACTTCTGGCCAATGATATTGCGGGATGTTAACATGTTCGGAGCGAACCAGGAAGTCGATGATGTGTATTATTGGTATTTTGTGAACACAACTGTACTGACGCTGACAATAGTTTAATGGCCGTTTATTCGTGAATATAGTCGTTGTTTTTAGTTTCAGCTTCGAGTTAAATAGTAGCGACAGAGAGCTAAGTTAACTTAACTAACGATACCTTACTTTCAAGCTTTAAAAGTTTGGTAACAGTAGTGTCGGCAGTTTCCAGCTGTCATGGGGACCGCTTTTAACTCCTGTCAGTCGGCTTTCTGCTCTCCTAGCCGGGGTTGATCTTCATGGGGAACCGTATCACTGGAGGATGGAAGGTTTAACCGAGGACCATCATGGCTGCTGTGACGGTGTGTCGTTACACCGGCGGCCGGCTCCTTGGAGGATGGTGCCCGCTGCTGTGTGTGCTCCTCGGGTCTCTGGTGGTGGTCCTGATGCCCCTGGTGCGGGAGGAGGATCAGTGCTGCGCCGCGCTGAGGGGCCTCTCTCTGCTCCGCTGCCGGCTTGGGGGCGGCTCTCAGCGACCTGCAGCGGTGCAGACCACCAGCCTCACGGTCCCCTTCACGGCCCTGGACGTGCTGCCACTCAGGTCCAAGCCGAGCAATGGTACGAACAAGAACAGGTGTATTTATTAACTAAATGTATAGCTGTGGTGTAAAGTAACTACGTACATTTAGTACTGTACTTTTGTAAGTAAAACGTTGAGGTACTTGTACTTTACTTGAGTATTTCCATTTTATTATACTTTGTACTTCTACTCCTCTACAATTCAGAGGTAAATATTTTACTTTTACTCCAATACATTTAAAAGTTACTTTGCAGATATAGATTAATGATAAACAATAGGATCAACGGCACGCTTTAAAAAGACTATAGATACACCTGGATTCAATTCCCAATTATTTGAAATTATCTCCACCTTTACCAGCTTGATACATATATCAATAATTATAACCTACACATATAATATATGATTCTGAAATGGGCCAATGTGCATAATGATTACTTTTACTTTTGGTACTTGGTGAGTTTACTTTGGTGCTAATACTTTTGTACTTTTACTTTAGTAACATTTCTAAAACGGGAGTATTCCTACTTTCTGTTGCTTGTACTTTTATTAAGTACAGGATCTGAGTACTTCTTCCACCTCTGATGGATAGAGTATTATTATCTCCAACTGTTTCACATTTGTTGGAGTTGACCGTCTGTAATGTTGTGTTTGCAGAAATGAAGCTTGAGGCCAAGGCGGCACTGCAGCTGGCTCTGGAGATGAGAAAACTTGGGAAGCGTGAGAAGGCTCATAAACTGCTGGTGCATGCACTCAGCATGAATCCAGACTTTGTGGATGCCCTGACGGAGCTGGGGACCATCCTGGAAGAGGAGAAGGATGTGGTCCAGGCAGACCATCTCTACACCAAGGCCTTGGCCATCTCCCCGTGTAATGAGAGAGCTTTAGTGAGCCGGGACCGGACTTCTCCCCTGGTGGAAGAGATTGACCAGCGTTACTTTGGCATCATTGACAGTAAAGTGCGCCGGCTTATGTCCATTCCTAAAGGCAACTCTGCCCTCCGCAGGGTGATGGAGGAGACCTACTACCACCACATTTACCACACGGTGGCCATTGAAGGCAGCACGCTCACTCTGTCTGAGATCCGTCACATCCTCGAGACGCGTTACGCCGTCGCTGGGAAGAGCTTACAGGAGCAGAATGAGGCCATCGGTGTGGACGCAGCCATGAAGTACATCAACACCTCGCTGCTGTCCAGAGCAGGAACCATGGACGTCAGTGACATCCTGGGGATCCACCGCCGGGTGCTGGGCTACGTGGACCCTGTGGAGGGAGGGAGGCTGCGCACCAACCAGGTATTTGTGGGCCATCACATCCCCCCCCACCCTCGGGACCTGCAGAGACACATGCAGGAGCTGGTTCAGTGGCTCAACTCCGAGGACGCCCTGCAGATGCACCCCGTGGAGTACGCAGCTCTCGCCCACTACAAACTGGTCTATGTGCACCCATTTGTCGACGGCAACGGACGCACATCACGACTGCTCATGAACCTCGTGCTCATGCAAGCGCGATACCCACCAGTCACTATCCGCAAAGAACAAAGGGCAGAGTATTATGCAGCTCTAGACACAGCTAATGAGGGAGATGTACGACCCTTCATTCGCTTTATAGCCAAATGTACAGAGATGACATTGGACACATTGTTGATTTCTACCACGGAGCATGCTGTGGGGCTGCCGGGGGCCAGCGAGGACCAGGGCTGTCCCGACTGCCAACAGACCATTCCCATTCACAACTAGATACACAGGGAAGGGGAATCTAAAAGCTCTTTAATTACAACCCTACCATGTGTTCAATTGCCTTATGGCCATATTCTACCTTATCCTCTGTAATCAAGTTTAGGATTTAAGATAAGGAATTCATTCACAGGGTGTTGAATTGAAAATGTGCTGTTACAGTTTGTTTTGTCATTGAAAATAAACCTTTTCCCCACTTTTTGTTAGTAACCATATTCCCTTAGTGTTTATGAAATTCAGAGATCTTTAAAATACAATCTACATTTGACCAGAGGTGATGGGACGACGAAAGAAACGTTTTCTTATCATGACATTTGACTTGGGATGCTTTAAGAGCAAATGTGTAGAGTGGGTGTGAACATTTGTTAATGATCTATCTCTCGGATAGAAAATATGAAGTGTCATAACACTGTAAGCACTTGTGTTTCTGATTATTTATTTTAAAATAAACGTGTTCTATTCACTTGTATTATGTCTCTAGGTTATGAATTGTTTTAGACTGAACAAAGCTGTGGCTGTCACACTGGGATCAAAGAGGATTGACATGACTTTATTAAAACCAGTTTTAAAACATGACTATTTTTCTTTTTTAACAGGACCCAAAAACACAAGGGGTAAAATGGTAAATAAATACTTTGAACACAAAAACCCCATCTATTCTTGACCTTTATAGCAAATTCAAAACATTTACTATATAAATTATACAAAACAACACCGATGAATCTTTTAGTATTAGACAGAAAATAGGTGACGAGACGTATTTCAATTTTTTAGATTAGGCCACTGTGGTGAGAGCAATACATATAGCTTGTATTCCATTTGTTTTGAAAATGTATATTTATACTTTATAAACAAACTGGTTAACCTTTTTTTAAATGATCAAACAGAACATTATGAAAACAAACTTGAGTAATGGTCGGCTCATAACCTCAGAACACAGAAGAGGAAAAACTGCATAGATTCTCCTTTCATTTTGAAGGAGCTGCAGACCTGAAGTGTGTAGAAGACTTCAATGATTACAAAGTAAACCAGGTCACATTTCCACATATACTTTCTAGCATGTATGGTCATCTCCTAACACCCACTTGAATGTTTCTTAAATTATAAACCATTTCAGGTAACACATTTTGTATTAAAGTCGATTAATTATTTTGTCTGCTTGAAAAAAAACTATGAAAAATGCCATCAGTTATCTAGAGCCTAGATGAAGTCATATTCCTGTCAGTCTAACGTCAAGATACAGTTTATTTATCTAAATGTAAGAAATAACTATTTGAACAGCTGAGATACTGAAAATAAACTACAAATCTACTTGACTTGAACAATCAATTTTTAAAATACAATATATGTAGATCCACTCATCTTTGCAAATAAAGACTGCAGCCATCGAAAGAGCCACGTAGAAATGTTTCTTATCTATCGCTCACATGCGAGCGTCACAAGGTGAGGGTATCATGGGTAGTTTCTAAAACAATATATGTGATTTGATGATGGATGTTTTCACCCAGTGATGTATAAAAGCAGAGAACGTGTACTTAGAGCAGTCCAGTCAATGGTTTGACGTGATGACAGGGACGATTATTCTAATATGCCCTCAGGCTGATATAAACCCAGATAACTAGTATTTTAATGACCCTGTAAACTCTATAGCATCATAATACTGATGGTTACTAGCAGATGGTGTTATGAAAATAAGCTAATTGCTAGCCTTGTTAACTTTGTCTTCAGAGAAAAATTAGTTTCCTGAAAACATCTGGAGAATATCTTTTCATTATTGTAGTACATTCATCTTCTGTACACACACCACAGCTGACATTTTGCATCTCACTTTTTTTTAAAAACAACATCAACTAGTTTATCTGTTATGACTATTTAAAAAAGATACTCCGCTGTTTGCTTCTCTTAGTTCTGTTTCACAATTCACAACAAAAGAAGACACTTTGCAACACGAGGCGTACCATTTTAGATACAATATATTTACACACAAATATCATACACTTTCTTTTTATAAAATACCCAGCCATCTACCTTCAAACAAGCAAAATGAAAACAATGTGTCCCACTGGTGAAGTCTTTCCGATGGAGGGCAGAGGTTGGCCACCTGACAGGACTGAGGTTAAAGGGAAGCCAGCTAACCAAATACAGAAAACTCTCCAAGACGTATTTGTAAGGACACAAGATGGCTTTCGGTCCGAAGGCAGTCATATTTCTCTCCTCCTCCTCCTCCTCTCACTTGCTGAGAAGCATCCTGGCAAAGTCTGAGTTTGACAAAGGTTTCGTCTCTCCGGCTGCGCTGCTATCTCCCGCCGCGTCCACGGTTCCGTTCTTTACTTTGCTCACAGGCTCACTCTGCCGGTGCAGGGATCGAGGGATCAACGACAGCTGCGTGCGCCCTCTGCCTCTCCTTTGGAAACATAAAAAACCTTGTGTTAGTACAGGTACGGATAATATAGGGGCAAGACTTTCAGAAAATATCCGTTAACTTACCCTCCAAAGACCTGCCGAGGCATTAAGTCCGTTCTGTCGAAACCAGGTTTATCCATCATATTTCTCCGCGGGGGGTTACTTATCGCAACACAGATTTTGTTTTCCCCGATGTCCATGCCGTCCATTTTCAGAACTGCCTGAGACGCCTGGGTGACGTCGGCAAACTCAACATACGCCAGACCCTGCAGAGACACACAGCGAGAGACAGTTAATACTGAGCAGCTGCCTCTGCTCCATGACTCTGTTCAGCATCGTGTGGTCAGAGGTGCCAATCATTAGCTAAACCAGGAGGACTATTATTAAACGTCAGGACACTGTTCTCCCCTTTATGTCTCACCTTGGGTTTTCCAGAGCGATACGTGACCAGGCGAAGGTCTTTGACGGTGCCGTGACTTTTGCAGATTTCCTCCAGTTGCTCTTTAGTGCACGAGAACGGCAGCCCGGAGATGAAGAGTTTTTGCCTCTCCATGGTCGTGTTGTATTTAAAGATCTACGGGGACATTATTGTTGTCACTTGCACGCCGGCTCATTATAAGGGTTTCTACAGGGTTTACTGACAAAAATACTTTTTAAAAAAACATTTATTTCGATACCACAGAAATACATTTAAGATATGTATTTTTCTTCAAAAGTTTAGACTTTCAAGACCTGCAGAAAAAAACAGACATGTCTATATTTTGAAACCTGTTCATATTTACCTTAAAGTCGGGATTCTCTTTTTTGTCCACACAGGGAGACACAAACATGGGCCTGCCCTCCACTTCCCGTCGGTCCAGCTTCAGGGCTTCAGCGACAGACACTGTGGATTCAAACTGCACATAGCCGTAGCCTTTGAAGGTGCCTTTGGTCGCGAAAACGGGGCGAACCTGTGCGACGGGACCGCAGCTCTCAAACTGCGCCCGGAGCTTGGCTTCTGGCTCCTCCAGGGTGTACGCCAGGTTGCTGATGAAGACACTGCAGTCATCGTTACGCAGCTCTGGCTTCTCATCGTTCTGACTCTGGGCGGCGGACCCCTGCTGGGCTCTTTTGTTGCCGGGCTTATAGCCAGGTGGGGGGTTCCTCCCCGCCTCAGTCTCCATGTTCTCCTCTGTGGCGCCGTCCCTAGTTCCTCTACGTCTTTTAGGAGCTAGTTCCAAAGAGAAAGAACAATTAATAATAAACCTAGAGTTCCTTTATATTCCTAAACATCAAATTGAAGTGTTTTTTTCAAAGATGATCCCAATTCCCTCAGAACACGGGATAGCTCGAAAAAGATCAGGGTAATTACACTGAATTTCTTTTAAATGCGAATTAGCAGGATTACTCTCTCGCTTGCACAAAATACATAAATATTTCACACATTTCAAGTCACTATGATTATTTTTAAGCATAGTTTACTATAAAATACAACGTTTTCAAGATCATTTGATTTACTTTATAAGATTATTTACCCGAGTCATTGTTCCAATCGTTATGGTGATCATCCTGCGTTGCTTTCCTCTTCAACACAGCTCCTGGTCCCTTCTGACCCTTCTTCTGACCCTTCTTGTCTGCTTTGTTCTTCTGCCGCTGATCCCCTCGGTCCTCCTCTTGGCGGGCGTGGTTAGCTTCTTTCACAGCAGCCTAACAGGTGTGCAGAACGAGGTTACATTAGCTAAAGGCAGCTCAACATTTCACCTGGTATGTGCAGTGCTGATAGGTGCTCTTACCTTCGCTCGTTGCTCATTGACTCGGTTCAGCCGGGTCTCGGTCTTCAGCACCGCCACGTCCCAGTCCTCCAGAGAACCTGTAGATGAGGTCGCAAAATACAGACATGCTGTAATCTATGAGAAACGTCTTTATTTTAATGTTGTGTTGGATTTTTATATCTGGACTCACCTTCCACCCTCTCGAATGTGAGCAGGACTTCACAGACGTGCTCAGGGTAATCTGAGGTGCATTGAACTGCTCTGTGGAGAGCCTTCCGACAGTGAGCGTTGTCTCCATAAGACCTAAGGATAAAGAAGTGAAGAAATTAATAAAAATAATACCAGGGACACCAAATACAAGTTGTGGCTCAAAACGCATCAGCACTTCATTTCCTTTTTGTCTTGTTTTACATACCTTTCAAGGTTATAGTACTCCAGCCACATGTTGGCATATTTTGCATTCCCTTTTGTCAAGATGCTGTCCCACAGCTCTCTGGCCTTTTGGATGTTTTTGCAGTGGAGGGCCTGGTGAGGAGAAGAAAACATTAAGAGGTGTTCATTTGTGCAGATAGTTTCCATATTACACATGTGACAGTGAGGTTATATAACTCAAAATACACATAAATATGACCTTGTGTGACTAATACCGTGGCGTTTAAAAAAAGTAAGTTGCTGTTTAAAATCAGATTTTATGGTAAATTAAGCACATCATAGAGTAGCTTTAGACACTTGAGCTATTACCGGGTTTAAAAATTAGACAGGCTCATTGTAACTATAGTAAATGGTTGTCATAGTAACACTTCTCACCTCTATCCTTGCCCAGATCTGCATTATGATACAAGAAGCATCTCCACTTTCACCAAATCCTACAGGGAAACAAGACAATGAATGATTTGAAAGCCAAAACTATAATACCAGAAGTAAACCTCAGTCCGGCGGAAATCCACCTACTTTCTTCAACATCTTGTTTCATGTATTCCAGAGACCGGGCGAAAGATCCTCGCAGCTCCTCCAACTCTTTACTTGATTCTGCAAAATCACAAGTAACACCGTTAGCAAGGAAACAAGAAGGAAACTCAATAGTTTCCAAGCACAAAGACACATTCAGTACCGCTCTCACCTTTGCTGAAATCAACACGTCTCCTCAGGTAGTCGAGGAATGCCTGCCAAATTTCCACATAATCCGTCGCTTGAATAAAACCTGCAATCAGCGCCTTTTCAAAAACATCTGTGGGGAAGATAAAGACATGGGCAGCAGGTTCAGCGTTACAGGAACAAAGGTCTGGGATTTTGGTCACATATGAAACACAGCAGCATGAAAACAGCGATGCAGAAAGTGTTTACCTGAGACGGTGGCGTGGTCAGCGTCATACCGCTCCAGAGCCAGGAGGTAGCTCTTCCACAGACCCATCGTCCACGGGCAGTTCCTCACCGCTCGCTCATGTGAGGAGAGAACCAGGTCTTTAAACTTCAGCTGACGGTCCTGAGGGAACAAATAACAAAATGGTTAAAATAATCGAAAACAAGCTAAAGATTTTATATTAAAGATTTAAAGAGTTGACTTTATTCGTAACCACATTTCTTCCCAGAATGAATGAGTATATGTTCACAACTAAAAGGGGTGTATGAATAATCTTGTTATCAAAGCAATAGCCGTGTTCACACCGCAGTACTTTTCCCACTTTAGTTCCGAAATGTAGCGGAACAAAAGTGAGTTCATGAGAACCTTTCCGTCCCTGCTAGAGAGCAGGGACTTTCGTGGGAGAAAAAGGTTCCTATTTCTGATTGGCTGGGCGGATTGCAAACCACGCCCCGTAAAACTCCCAAAAAGTTTTGTGAAGCCGCCATTTTATTATCCTCACATTAGCAATAGCCCAGCGCACAAACGCAGAGAGACTGGAGGTGGAGATGAGGAGGTGTCGGCGTTCTGGCGATTTACTCAGAAGGCTTCAGTAGAAGCTGCTGGGAGTCCCCGCATGGGATATCATTGTTTTTAAATTCTCTGGAGCAGAGAAAGGAGCTGTGGATTATTGTTATTGATTGATGCATCAGTGTTTCTTAGGGTCAAAAACACTAAACTCACAACTTAAAATGAAAGCGTTTAGTTTATTTAATAAAAGAGCACATGTTCAATGTGACGGTAGATAGATTATTTGCAATTTGGTGCTATATATAAATATTTTTAAAAAAATACACCTTTTTTTAAACACCTTGAATTTCAGGGGGACCCCTCCAAGACAATGGTAGGGGAAACACTGAAGATGTTGCCGTTTCAGAGTAAATTCAGACTGAACCTAGTAAAAAAATAAAATAATCTCCGCCTAAGAAGACCACATTATTTATAGGGAAAACCACACTTGAATAATGGAAGAGTAGCCCAGATACTTTAGGATCCAAACCATAACATATCAGTACCCTGCGTCAGACTCAGGATAGATGCTAATGAATCGAAACTTCACATTTTTTAGAGAGGTTTAGCACAGGTCCAGGCAGACCCACCAAACGGTGCCATTTGACCTTTCTCAGGTAACAGACTGTAAAACTAAATTGTATTATAAATCACTATAGGTATTCATTCTATCCAAATACAACTGTTTTTGAAAATGCACCCAGACCTCTATACCTTTTCCCCATTCAACAAAAAAAACATACACAGGAAATGAAGTTTGACTCCAACTGGAGCAGATGTATTTATACACAATATACATAATATACAACAAAAAAAAACATTCTAAAATAAAATGGCGAAGAAAAAAAAATCACTTTTTTGTAAAAAAACAACAGACTGCAAAAACGTTATGCATCCTGAATGTTAGAATAGTTGGTCGTGCCACTCCTGGTAACAGTTTCTTTTTGAAGTCAAGCACAGAGGGACCTGGCACTTAATGCAGAACACAGGTGTCTTCACCCTCAAGATGCCAGAATCATAGCACTTCCTGCAGTACTTCCTCGATTGGGTCCCATCCTCCCCATAATACATGGGCATGCATGTGAGTGGTGGGGGGGATGGTGGTGCTGCAGAGCCTTCAGCAAACTCCAACATCTCTGCAGCAAGCTGCTCCCTGAAAGACTTCTGGGTGTGTGGCTTCATGCTGCTGGGGTAATTCCTCATCTTGTACAGCTCCTTGTGGAGAACGAAGCTGTTCATCAATGAAATGTCCATAAAACGGTAAAAAAAAGCCTTGTACCATTTCATTTTTTTGTTGTGAACGTTGTAATGCGCAATCAAAGCGTCGGACACATCCCTGACGCCCATGTTTTGGTTGTGGTCAACTACAGCGTCAGGAATGGGAACAGTCTTAGTCTGCGACACACCAGCCTCTTTCACTTTCCGTCTGACAGTCTGTCCACTGAAGGCTTCATGCACTGTGGAGCACATGGACACTTCACATCTGTCCATCCACTTCACGAACAGGAGTTTGCCTTTCCTTATCCACCGCAAATCTCCCCTTTCAGCCTTTTTCGGTAGGTCATTCAACTCATTCTGTGGAAAACCAATTTGATTTGTTCTAATGGTCCCACAACAGCCAATGTTTTGTGTGGACAAATCCTCAAAGACGGCAGGGCTGGTGTAAAAGTTTTCCACAAAGAGTGCGTAGCCCCCACCAAGCAGAGGCAATGGCATGAGGTCCATCACGGAGGAGTAGCCGAGTCCCTGGCCTGTGGTGAGCATACTCTTCCCCGTTTGCACAATGAAATTCCAGGTGTATGCCGTTGAGGAATCCAACAGCACACACAGTTTGTACCCCCACTTTCTGGGCTTGTAGTGTTTCGTGCTGATGCGGGCCTTGGATGCCACCATCCTTTCGTCTATAGAAATGTTTTGAAAGGGCTGGAAATGTGTTTTGCATGCAGTGACTATGTCAGTGTACAGGGGCTTGATCTTGAAAAGTCTGTCGTACTCTTCTGTGTTCTTTTTGCGCTCGTTTTCCTCGTCTTCTTCAGGGTTGCTCATGTGCAGCGACCACAAGATGGCTTCAAAGCGTTCCCGTGACATTTTGTCACCTGGGAATGGGAAGTCATATGGACTTTTCTTCGACCAGTAGTCTGATCTGTGGGGAACGTGGACGAGGCCTGTGAAAATGACAATGGTCAGGAAAATATAAAAATCCCTCACAGTCAGCACTTTCCAAACATACTTATTTCCAGCCTGGAATCTCTTCAGGGCGTTTGCATTCGTGTTTTCAATGAGCGTATGAACCACGGAAGCACTAAAAAAAAGTCTGAAAAGGGAAAGGGGAGACCACGCTGAGGTGGTGTCAAATGTTGGGCCTGGGACCCTGGCTGGCATGAACCTCAGTGGCTCTGGTCTTTGGTCTTTCTCCTCTCCGTTGTGCCACCCGGGTTCTTCCTCAGTCATTCCAGGAGAGGAAGACTCACCTCGGCCACGCTTCTTGGGTTTTGCCGATTTACATGATGCTTTGGTTTTTCTTTTGTTCTTCGTCTCTTTGGGTGCTTTGGAAACAGATGAGGAAGATGATGGCTGAGGAGGGGGAACAGAAGCCCGTCGAGTGGAGTGGCGTGGCCGGGACTGAGGGGTACGTGTTGATGGCCGTATCTTACTGGAAGCAGCCATTTTAGGCACATAATCTTCATCACTGTGAAAAAAAAATAAATAGATTAATTCACTGGCTTATACTTTTGAAAATGTAACTCCAAACAGACTATACTATATGGATGTTGAGGTAAATAAGCCCTGTAAGGGGAAACCAACACACCATCCAGGTTGAGTGTGAATAATAAGGAGGATAGATGAATAATATTACACCACATAAATAAGTAATCGATAAAAAGAAGAGAGATTACATACCTTTCCGTTGATGACATTTCATAATCTGAGTCACTACTGTCCGGGTCCATCCCTGGCTGCAGGTCCTCATCATCCGACGCAGAGTCAACAGGTAAAACACCTTCCCCGCTATCAGCAGCCAGAATGGTCAGTACCTTCTCCGCGGTATAACCCTTTTTCCTTAATTCCTAAATGCAAAGAAATCACTGTTCTTGTAATCTGCTGTGCGTTCCGCTGCGTTGTGAGGAGCGAGCTGTAGTCAGACCTTATACTTTAAGCGGGGACCTATCTCTGGAACCCATTGGTCAAATTCGGTGATTGACACCTCTTTGTAACCGTTAGAGCCAATGGAATCGAGGGGCAGTTCATAGATCCATGTAAACATTACCATTTGTCAGTTAAAATGCACAGCATGCTCCAAAGCAGACGCCCCAGCCTGCTCAACATTAAACCCCGCTTATTACCATGTCAATAATGATGGATTATCAGTAATCATTTCAAAGTGACGCAGAGACATTGGATTAACCTTCAGCAGCGTTTTTATGCCCTTGAACACAACTTTTGATCACAAAACAGCAAAGGTAAGACACATTATGGTTAGACAGTTATGGCTCTGTAAAGTGAAATAGTTTGTTGCTCTTTCCTGGCTGCTAGTTCAGTGATGAGACGTATACCCATTGACTCTGTGGAATCTTAGCTTTCATATGACATGTCGCTTGTGCAGATAGCACGAAGTAGAAAAATCGCTATCGCCACTTATGTTAGCATGCACCGTTAGCACGTTTTCATGAAAGGCTGATTTAGACGCTTGGTGTTGGAATTTAATTTTCGTTTAGGTAATAATGGTTATCATCGGCTGTTAGCTGAGTTTCTTCCCGTTAAGTGGGTATGCCACATTAATAGGTTGTTAAATGTTAACAAGCCCTGGGATGGTGTATCTTACAAGATGCTGCGTCTGCCCCCGGTACCGGGTGCAATCGGGCTCAAGAGGTTAAGAAAGATGATTCAAATTATTATCAACCTGATGTTTCACTGGGTTTTTAACAAAAACGTTAACATGAATCTAGTCCAAGAGGAGCTGTTAGAGAAATCACTGTGTAGTTCATCAAGAGTAGGTCTGGGAGGTAATGCTATATGAACAAGTCCAAACTCTACACAGTAAGCAATACAGTCGGACTGGGAACCAATACTCACCAGATAGGTTGTGTATTTGGTCCACATGTCCGGTACCAGGCAGTTCTCAGCCAGGCCCCGCTCATAGATGATCTGGATCCGTGCCGGGTCGCCCTCCTTTAGTTCAAAGTCGATGAAGGCCTGATACTCTGCCATCTTAGGAGGTTCTGCTAATATCTGGGAAAAGACAACAGACGTTAGGCATTGCATCACAACATTCAAACACTTAAAAAGGAGGAGAACTGTAAGGGTCAAAATGTTCAATTCAAGTCAGTTACCAGTGCTTCTTCCAAAGGTTTGCACTTGGCCAACTGCTGCAAAGCCTTTCTGTACTGAATCATGACCGTCTCAGCCACCTCCTGTTCAGACCACTCCTCGTACTCGGCAAAGGTGGCTTCCATGTCTGCGAAGCAACACAATTTTTGCCAACATTTATAGACACTTTTTAACATTAACAACAATGATACATACACTACATACAGAATTAGCTAATTGTAAAAGGGTGACATTGAGACGAGTAACTTTTAGTGCGCAGCGGGAACGTGTCAATTTACAATTGCTTATATAAGACCACATAACGGCAGGGAGACATGCGAGATGTTCAGACAAGAAAGAGTTTAACATATTACAGGAAATGCATCTGATGTCTATTCGGCTGATACAGTAAATAAAAAACAATACTACTATCTTTGCCCACTCCTGAAACTAACTGACTCAACTAAGCATGTTTTTTCATAATGCGTACAGCATTTCAAAAAGACACATCACGACGTGCCGGCGATAAATCATCATGCAACGGAATTTTGTCATTTTCACTCAATCAGCTTTTTGACAACCCGTACAACAGAAATCCAGCTTTTTGGACAAAACCGGCTTCATGCTTACCCATTAAAGGGACGGCCAGCTGGCGGCGAAACAGTGTGTGGATTCGCTCGAGCTGAACATTCAGACAACCTTGCTCCTCGCAGCTGGGAACCCTGCCAGGGGGAGGCTGGAGGAAAAAAGGCAGCGAAGATGGTGTCACAATTTAGGAAGTCATTTCGTCTAACCTGTATCAATTAAATTATTTGTATTTATTCTGAGTTAAGTGAAGGATTATAATTCAACAGTATGCTTCAACACAATAATAAACTGACCGATACGGATTGATAATGAAATAGAGTGCGTTAAATCAAATCTGACGGACACTACAATAAATTGAGAGCGCTGTTGTTAAAGCGTGAATTCACAGAAATGGGTGAAAAACCTTTCCCATCAATCTGCATAATACAAATGTTGAGCATCTGTAGCAAGGCTTAACGAGTATGATGCTTGATACAGACTGTAACAATGTGCGCATGAATATAAGCTATTAAAAGTACATTTCAACAGCAACCCATATTTACCAACAGTCCAGTTTGTGCCAGAGTGTAAATAAAATGTACATGATTGAAAATAAAACTCTCTAGCATGTGTATGTGTTCAAAAAGCAACTAAATCAAGGACATAGAATAAGACCATCTTAGTGGTGGAAACACAAACCTGTACTGTGGACAGGATGACGTTCTCAAACTCTCGGTACGCCTCCCACACCGCCTGTCCCTTCGTCATGTGAAGCCCCACCGCCATCACAGCTCTCTCAAAGATGGATCTCACCTTCTCCATCCCACCTGGCAAGCCCATGCCACCAATTGAATACTGAGCAAATTCGAGCCAGATATCTGGACCTGGGTATAATAAATACATGGGATTAAACATAAGGTCATGAAATAACTGACTGTCAAATCAAAGGCCTTTACCAATGGTGGGGGTCACTCACAGATATAGTCTGTCACGGCTTTCTCAAAGAGTTCATATACTTTCTCCCGGTTTGGCTCTTCCTCAGTCAGACGGATCTCATCCTTGAGCCACTCCAGCCAAATCTCTGCAGGTTTTAAGGACATTTAGTTTCAGTTGCAAATAATGATTAGAGCGGCTGACAATTAATACTTCATGAGACAACATGCACCGACCTTCAGTGAGTGGGAAGAGCTCACTCATCTTCTGCCTTGCTTTTCGCAGACGGAGAAGTTCCCCCTCCTGCTTCAGTAGCTTGATGAGATCCACGTGGCAGTTGTAGTCGAAAGCGTTGATAGACAACTGAAGAATCAAACAAAGAAGAAATAAGTGAAGGCCTTGAATAATGAAACGTCAACTTGTGCTTCTTTGTGATATAGCACCACAGCCAGAGAACATTCATATATTAATTATGGATTAAATAATAATAAATAAATTCTAACTGATTTTAGAATTCAAATGTCATCATCATTAAGGCTGTATTTGCCAGTATGCCGGACACTGTCAGGTGCAGTATAGCACTATTCAATTCAGCCCCAAAATGAACATGAAGTTGACTCCTAAATACAATTATTACAAAAACAATATATATTATTGTTAGGAAAATATTACTCGTCACCAGCTTGAGCTTCAATATCGGGATACATGTATGTATTATCCTTGCAAGAATGGAAGTAGTCATCACATACAGAACACATGGGACAACTAGTTCCTGAACAGTGTCCTTCACATGCTTATAGAGAGGGAGTTACACAGTCACAAGATGGAGGAATACCGGTTCAGTTTGGATTAGCTAAAACCCACTTCAGAAAGTATCATGCTTGTCATATGTCCATCTCCATAGAGGCTGAATCAGCATGTTAATCGTTGTAACACAGCTACGTAGGGGCCTTTGTTATCATGTGCTACTCTGATATTAGAAGAGAACATTCAGTATTTTCCCAACAATTATAAAAACCTAATGGATGGGGATCTGTAGAATTACATTACCGCAGTAAAACTAATGTAAGCTGCATGTACATCATTAACATAATGCTGCAGTAACTTTATAAACCTGCTCTCTGCTGATAAAGTGGAAGAACAGGACCTACAACGTTTACTGTATCCTTGCCCCATACACAATTATGAATTCTGTAAAAAGTTGCTATCGGTACATCAGATTATTTCTCTACGCGTCCCTCCCAGTAAAGTTAAAGTGTATATGTACTTTGTTTGTGCCGCTACTTTAGGATGTGCACCTGTACTTCCTGAAAACTGTAAAGCCCCACTGAAATAAGACGTTAAAAAAGGCGCGTATAACACGTGACTATTAGCCATTAGCATCACAGATTAGCAGGTAAGCTAACTAATCACGATAGCTATTTGAATGACGACGTATCATAAATAACATTGAATTGTTTTGGATAACAGACACAGTTTACATTCTATTAAGCCAAAGCAGGTCAGGTCATAGTTTTAAATCGGCTTGTGAGTTGACTGTGTTTACCATTCATTGTCATTAGCTCCTCTGTCCCTGAACGCATCTTATTGTTAATTACCTGCTCCTCCAAGCGTTGGATCTCGGCTTCATTTTCTTTCTCGTCATCCGAAGAATCGTCCTCTTCCTCGTCTGAATTTTCTCCTCGCATGCGGTTTTCCTCGTCTGATTCCATCTCTCTCTCCTCCATCCCTTCTTCTTCCTCCTCCATATCGTGCAACTGCGTTTGCTCTGCGCTGCTCGACGCTGCCATGTTGGAAAGTACTCTCTGCCTGGAAACAGAGAAGTATCGCGAGAGTTGGAGCTTGAACCGAAACCCCAGGAAGTGAGCCCGAGTAAGAGGCGAAGTCCCTCCCCTTCCGGTGGACCTCATTTCCGAAACATTATGTATTGAAGTCAATGGTGAGAGAAGAGAGAGATTATCTGTCGATCCCGTTTGAATTGTGCCACGAATTACACATATGATGTTTGTAAATTTAAAAGATAATTTTGCAAGTCACATTTTTTTTAAATGTGTCGTAAAACTGTGAAGTAACACCTTTTTTGTGTGAAACCGCTCAATGAACTACATCTCTGGTCCATAGTCTGTATATTACATTACATTGCATTTAGCAGACGCTTTTATCCAAAGCGACTTATACCAGGAAGATACAACCTTGAAGAAAACAGAATCATATAGGCTAAGTACAAACATTTCAAACCAAAACCAAACATTTCAAGTGCTACTCAACTGGCTATAGATAAGCCAGTCCTTTATTAGTATATAAGTGCTCTGTTAGCAGTTATTTGTTAGTAATTATATCGCTCGAAGTGGAGTCGAAAGAGATGAGTTTTCAGTCTGCGCCGGAAGATGTGCAGGCTATCTGCTGTCCTGATTTCAATGGGGAGCTCATTCCACCATTTTGGAGCCAGGATAGCAAACCCGCGCGGAAATGTTACTTCATTTTAAGGCTAATAAAATGACAAGGCTAAGGCTGTAATGATAACTAACGTGCTTGCTACTAGCGAGGTAGCTAACTTGATCCAGCCACTCCTGGTCCTTTCATCAGACGGGAAGCGAAAGAACGAGCAAGACCCATTTATGGTATGATAACAACCTGGTAATAAGCACACAGGCATCTTGTTAAAGTTATCTTATTTTAGCTATCTCTTATATTTTGTGGAGGAAAACAGTTAGGACATCAGTTATGACATCACTTACTCTGGGATGTGTAGTCTTTCTAGTTGCGTATTTTTCATAGTCTTATATTTCAACAGTTTTACGACAAATTGTGACTTTTTTGACATGGAAATAATTTTTTAAGATTGACAAACATCTTATGTGTAATTCATGGCACAATTCAAACGGGATCGAGAGATAATCTTTCTCTCTCCATTGACTTCAATACATAATTCTTCCGAAATAAGGTCCCATTGGTCGGAAGTAGATGGGCGGGACTTCGCCTCTCTATTATACATCCATGGATGAAACCCATTTTCGTAAAGTGGTTGTGATCAAAAGGTGTTTTTATTCAAGAACATAAATGAACATCATATATTTGAAATACAAAAAAGTTCACATCAGGGGTAGTCATATACAGTTATCAAAATAAAAAGAAAGTCCAGTTTCATATTTCAGATTAAATATTTCTTAAATTAACAATTCGTTTCTATTAATAATGCTGTACTATATTATTTTCATTCGAGGTAAAACATGTATTAATGTCCTCTCTTTATATGAATAAAACATGTTCCTAAATATATAACTAACTGTTAACTTGTAATATATACTCTACTCTATATATATCCTTCATAATTGATATATATTCACTGTTTTGCGTATTTCGCTTCTACTGCTGTTATATATATCGTTATTGTTTTTATTTAATTGTATTTACCTCTAATTCATGTCCAATGTCTTATCCAAGCTGCTTTGACAAAAATAATTCCCAAATTGGGATCAATAAAATATATCTTATCTTATCTTGCCATTCTTGCACATTAAATGTAAATAGTATCCCACATTTAAATTGTGTTAGCTGTAATTCAGCCTTTCAATAGCAGTTGTATTCATCAGATAGTTTAGATATGTTTTCTTCACAGTCAACTCTTATATATGTTCACTCTTTTAGTTTGTTTTGTTTGCTATTTTTAGATGTTTATATTGTATAATTGTTTATTTTTCTACTCTTTTTCATTTCTAAGGATGTGCAATATTTGTTCAACATGCTGCTGCAACAAAAACATTTCCCAAATTGGGACTAATAAACTATATATTATCTTATGTTACATGTGTCCCCTGTAGTGGCTGCTGTTCGCCTCTAGAGGGCGCTCATTTCTCGATGAGCCCTTCCGCACTTGTTTGTCAACAAAGGGTGCTCGTCTTCTTTCGTGCTCACTCGTTGGTTTCTGTTCATCACCATCGTTATCTCAACATGGCGATTGTGTCTCTGCGAAACTCCGCGTCCTCGCTGTTGTTATTTAGCAGACGTTTATTCAGCCCGGGGCTCAAGGCACAGTGTTTATATCACATAAAGGTAACTCAAATGTGTTTTAAACTCGTAATGTCACATGTGTTATTGATGTCACACGTTTTACTGAAGGTAAACTACGTTGTGTCGTGTGAATCTCACAGGGGGTCAAACCTGTGTCCACACGAGTTAAGACCCTGGGTTCTTTGTATAACTTGTATAAACAATTTCAATGGGTATAACCAGTTATTACTGCCGATGTTTGATCCATATTTTATTCCTTCTTATTCCATTCCAATGTAAATACTGTTATATTTTACTATATTCTTTATTATATTTTTCTAGTTCTCTACCTGTGTTTTTAATTCTAGTTTTACTTTTATGTATGCACCACAACACCAAGTCAAATTCCTCGTACGTGTAAACCTACTAAACCTGTTTCTGATTCTAACATGGTACATACTACATTTACTAAAGTACTTATGTACCATTTTGAAGTACATCCCTGAGTAGTCTCAGTTTATGCTACTTAATACTTTTACTTCACTACATGTTGTACAATATTGTACTTTTTACTCCACTACATTTATTTGACAGCTTTTAGTTACTATTTACTTAAAATATTTACCTAATACATCAATAATTGAATACACTTTGACATATATTTATAGGTTAAGATATCCAACTGCAGTATATCAAGTTATTCAAATTATCTCTACATGGACCACCTGTGATTAAAACAGATCAACAATCACCCAGTAACTCAATATAAGACTGGAAGGTCTTCTTAGTATGTCAAATATTTTAAGCTATGAAACATAAATACATACAGTAGGGTAGCTAACCTAAACCTATAGGTCCTATCTCTACTACACTCTAAAACAATTGCATCTAATTTTCCGTGTGTCTCGTTCCTCAAGGTGGTGGACCATTATGAAAACCCAAGAAATGTAGGAACTCTAGACAAAAACTCCAAGAATGTGGGGACTGGTTTGGTGGGTGCACCGGCCTGTGGCGATGTAATGAAGCTTCAGGTAAGTTAGAGGTCAAATGCTACTGCTGTCATGACTGTCATTACTTTTGTACAACTAGGTGTATTCTATGTTGTTTTTAGATCGAGGTGGATGACCATGGCATGATTGTTGATGCCAAGTTTAAGACATTTGGCTGCGGATCAGCCATTGCCTCCAGTTCTCTAGCGACAGAGTGGGTGAAGGGGAAGTCGGTGAGTTTGTAAAACATGGATTGAAAGAAGAATAGTGGCATTACAAGTCCTGCTTTTTTTTTTATCTAAGTCTGCTTTCATTCTGTAGGTGGAAGAAGCTCTGAAGATCAGGAACACAGACATCGCCAAAGAACTCTGCCTTCCACCAGTCAAGCTGCACTGCTCCAGTAAGTTCAAAGCAACACAATGACATACTGAAAGTAGCACTGTCATGTTCACAGTAAGGGTTATAACACAACTGAACTCTCGTTACTGAAACCAAAAGTATATTCCATTATTTGGTTCTTCTCAGTTTTTGTGCATTTAGAATAGGTCTGGGCTATATTTCTATAGTATTCTGAAACTACATATCATCTTTTGGATACTTTAATATGGCATACATGTTTTTCCAGGGTTTTAAAATGCAGTGAAGTGATGTAATTGTCTGACTTTACAAGACTGTTAAAGCTGTTTGATTAATTGCATGAACAATAAGTCATTATATCCACGTTACTGATGGCTACTTAAACAAAATCTCAATGAATTTTCTGAGTACGAATGGTCAACCGTTGACATTTCTCAACTCACTTCTTCAGGGTTTTCCTTTCAGTTGTTACTAGGCTTATTTCATGCTCAAAGTGTTTGTTTAAACTCTTCCCTCCTTTGTTCTTTCAGTGCTTGCAGAGGATGCCATTAAAGCAGCGCTGTCAGACTACAGAATAAAACAACAGGACAAGAAGGAGAAGTGTGTGCAAGCCACCGGTTAATGTGTGTTATTCACAATCCGTTGTGTCTCCAGCCCTGTAATGTTTCACTGCAGTGCTGTTTGAAAGGATGGATCACCATAATACTACACCAGGTGTTCAGCAAGTTATACACCATGAATCTCTTAAGAAAATGGCAGTGGTTATTGTTTATCTGCTTCTCATCTCATAATCAGTCATTGGCTCTTTATTGAGGCTGATTTTGGAGTTGTAAGTTCATGGTAAACATCTTAATTCAAACTCAACATTGCTCCTCCTTTGCAGTGTTTTCTACACAGAAACCAAATAAAGAAATCAGAAACTATAGGTCAAGATTTTTTTCAACATTTGTTGGCCTTTCCTCTCCATCGTGAAGGACTCAGTATACAGTTAACAGCTAAAGAACGCATACAATATCATTATTCAGAGTATTCTATGGCTGTGTGTGCCTATCGTGAATAAAGTTATTTGAAAAAATGTCCGTGCCTGTGTGTCATTGTCATCCACCAGACCCTACATTAAGCGGCGCCACCTGCTGGTGCCGCAGGAGAACTCTTTTCAGTACAAGCAGCACCACCAGCATCAGGAGAGCTACTAACACACATAACACTGCCAGCAGAGAGACGACCAGCACAGAGTCGCGTTGTGTGAGCGGTCGAGGGTCCAGAGTGGGCCGGGGTGCATCTCTGTTAGTAGAGAGCAGAGATCGAGTCCCTTCAGCAGGGGTTGTGTTAACGTGAGGGGACCCACTTGTGATGTTGTCTCTGAATTTCTGTTCCTCAGCAGGGACTGAAGTGGTTTTTAAATCAGGTGAGCTAGATGGTTGTGTTTTATTTAGGGACAAACACTCCTCATAGGTGAGGGTCTCTAAAGAGTAGTGGTCAAGTGTCACACGAGTCTTATGAGCGTCTCTGGAAAGAAGTCCATCAGTGGTT